GTGAGATGATAATGTTATTTGTGTGGAGGAAGAGATACCATCCAGCATGCAGGATATTTCTTAATCGAAACTAAGTTTTTTAAAACATAAATAACTAGACTAGAATAAAAAGTCAAGGGCCTATAGACCTACATACCTTAAGTCTACACAGATATCTAATATCTCACTTGTGCTTAGGCTGTGTATACAAATACTTGGTATATATGGCTAGCCGAAGTAAGATATGTTTATGGAGCAGAGAGTATCTCCTGGTCGAGCTCACGCAATTAGAACCCTCTTAGTTTGTTTTTCTGGGTTTATTAGGCTATTGATAGGGCCTTCAACTATATGCATATGTGTGTGTGTATATATAGTCATAGCTATGGACGCGTACCACACGCTAACAACGATTATAAACAAATTTCCGCTTTTGACGCGCGCCGTCCGCTAGGGAATGAGGGGAGGGAGTGGAGATCCAGGGGCACGCATTGTGGTTTAAGTAATTCCAAAATGGACTGTTCAGAAACGTATTTGTGCAATTAACGCCAGAGAGCAACAACAGCAACAACAGCAACAACAATCAACTAAATAATGGGCATTTGGTGCGCGTGTACAAAATTTATTAATTATACGCCATGTTGTGCCAGCCAACGCCCAAGAAAGGCAAGGGAACCAAGTAGGGGGTGAGTGGGAGAGAGGGAGAGTGGGAGAGTGGGCGAGTGGGGGAGGGGCAGGTACTGTAATACCATTTGATTTTGGTGTAAATGCTAATTGCAATTGCTGGCAGAGTCAAGTGAGGCGCCTATTATAGCGATTCCTTGACTTCATTCCATATAATTAGATTTTAATGTGAGCCGATGTAATCATGCTATATGCTAGATGCATTACACGAATCATTAGAGATGCAGGTTTGCCATCATTAGAGTTTACCTACATGTATCGAGTGTGGCACACATGTTTCTTGTGTGTGTGGGGGGGACTCGCATGTAACCCAAGTGGCGCCCACCCACACAGCTCTGACAACCAGCCCACCAAGCCCAGCCACGGGCACGTGCCGCGCCCCAAAGCGGAAATTCAAAACTCCGCATGTGGCAGCGACTATTAATTGCGAATCAAAAGAAATCGATCCAATTTTGAATAACTGAAATTGAGCTAATTCATGGCTCGAATCGCATTTAGGCCTCATTGCAAACAAAACAACATTTTTTAAAGCCGACGACTTAAAGCCGCCTCTGGGCGTGAAAGTGGAAGCAACCACCGAGAGTGGTGGCCGAGTGGTTGCTGAATGGCTGCCGAGTGGTTGATGGTACCGGTCAATGCTTGCCACGACCTCTTCCTGCTCTCCCCTCCCTCTCCGCACACCAGCAGGGCACTTTTTCCATTAGTGTCCAGCGAGGCGAATGATGCGCGTTAACCCACCCTCTGCCAGGGCGCCGCCTTCCCGCCTTCTCGCCTTCTCGCTTTGTCGCCATCTCGCCATATTCTGTCACAAAACATTTTGTTGACAAAAACCTGACTTGCATATAAATAGACCACGAAACAAACGACAAATAACAGCTCTGCAGATACTCTATGCCCTGCCTCTCCGCTCAGCCGAAAACATCCTTTGCCCAGGATACCAGAATAAGCCTGTGTCTGGTAAACAACCACAAAAGCAGATAAAGTTAAACTCATTTTACACTGTGCCAAATTGTAAATATTTATGTTTTTTTTTTTTCGCACCATCAAGTACAATGGTTGCGATTGGCATGGGAAGGAAACTGAATCTAGTATTTGTTGAGAATCAATATTTGTAATCGATAGATTAATAATATAGAATATAATATAGATAATATAGATAAATGCAAGAAATCTTATATATTGGCATTCTCCAATATCTACTCTACAAATATATCGAGTTAAATTTGATCAGAGTTTCATCTAGTTGTTCCACTGTCTCTTCCTACCCTGTTGTCACCCAATGATGGTGACGCCATATTTGTTTGTGGCTGTTATTGTTGTCTCTGCTGCTGTTGTTGTTGCTGTTATCCTTACGCATCAGAGGACTTAATGCGGATAAATGGTCTGACAATTACGTTTATGTCAACAATAAAAATTAAATTAAATCGTTTTTAAGAATGTCGCTGAATCTGCTCCCATTCCATGGCCCGATCCGCCCCTCCGACAGATGTTGCAAATAGAAGCGAGGTGAAGCGTCAGCCGGGCAGAGAGGAGTGGGGTCGACATAGATATTATGGAAAAACAAATGAGAGAAGTGTAGAGCAGTGTGTGCGAGACAGAGATAGAGAGTGGGAGACTGGGAGACTGGGGAGAGACTGGGAGAGAGGGAGAAGTTTGTGTCATGCCACAATGCAAACTGTCAAACGGGATGTCAGGCAAGTGTCAGCGTTGGCGGCCTCGCGGAGACAACTTCAAAGTGCTCCATGGCTATGGAACTTGTCCGATGGGAGCTGAGCAGAGCAACGGGTGTAGTTGAAGAGGTTGACACAACATGCGTGACAATTTAATGAGCAGACGCTGGGCCAATGTTTTAATCAAAATTAAGCGTAATGGATTTTGATTTTATTAAATGCGACTTAAATGAGTTGCGACATACAGACTCAGTGCCACTCGATCTCTCTCCCTCTCTCTCTGTCTATCTCTATCTCTTTCTCCCAACTATATGTATATGTGTTTGTTCATATCTGTACTTATTTAGACTGAGGCAGACTAATTAAGCAGACGGCACTTTGCTCGCGGCTACGCAACATCTACAACAGCGCCGCTTGCATACGAGAGGGGGGCGAGGGGGAGGCCTAGCGGGGCATGGGGCTTTACGAAATGGGGGTGCGACTGCTTGGCGGTTTTGCTTGAGTTCCACTCGGCGCTAATTGCGTTTATATCCTTCAGTTAATGGCACTTAATTAACAACTGTGTGCCGCTGCATCGAGGCGTGCCACGAAACGCTCACAGAGACCTGACTAGATGCAAATTTATTTATGAATTATTTTCAACTATTTACACCAGGCGAATTCCGACTCGTAATTTGACAAATTTGCTTACCGAATAATTTATTAATATTTCCTACTTGAAATGTGGGACTAATGGCCATTTGCTGTGGGCAGTCATTAAATATATTTGATTAAAGCCAGCGGGAAATGGGAATGGGACTCAATCCTATAGCTACGGCAGTGTTATGGCTACAGTGTGACTACATGTTGTTGTCTACTCGACAAGTATTACTATAAACGCTTCTCAACTGAAGAATATTAATTTTAACAGATGATATTAAACGGGCTTCGAGCTCTTGACTAGTTGATATATGTGCTTGTAATTCCCAATCAGGCAGTACATAAAAAATAGATAAGTGGCACTAAATACATAGGGTCCGAAGTGTGGAATGGAGAATGGATTTCGAGTCTTCAATAGTCTGTATTGGCAGTCTGTCTTCGTGTCGTTTAACTGCAACTTTAAGCAATAATAACTGTCAAAAGAAATGATCATACTAAAGATATTACACTCGCATATATTAGGCATACAATTAAGAAAATAAGTTTTTTATTTATGTTAATAAAAGAGATTCGCATGAAAAAGTGGGCGTTTCCGACCAAAGTGAAATTGATGCCAGTTTGAATACAGCGCGCGAAACGAAACAAAAGGCACTCAGCACTCATACGAGAGAAACAAACACAGAAATGACAGTCCAATTAGCACAAATAATAACCCACACCATATCTGTGCCGGATGTGATATGCCTGAAAAAGCTCAAATATACTCGGATACAGACACAGGGAGATATATGTATATCGAGCATACATATACAGCTTTTTAAGTGCCGCCAACGCCAACGCCAAAAAAAAAAAGAGCTCCCAGGCCCCCAGCCAAGCAGAAAGCCGACCTCTGCCCCCTCCCCTTGCCTGATGCCATCTATATCTTTTTAGCATTTTGTCATTTGGCACGGATCGCTGGCAATTCGCAGAAATTATATGAAACATTAAGTTTTATTAAGCAGACATCAATTGCTTTGCATGGAACTCGAATGAATTTATAAAATAATCAAGCCAAGCGACGCGACGTGACGTTTGCTCGTACAGTTGGCGCCAGAGACTTAGCTTCTAGTTACCCTCTGTTCCCGTTCGATATCAATGTTAATTGGCGTTGGCTCCGCTCTCGTCCCTCTCATCGGTTGCCATGACTAAATTATGGCAATTGCTGACTTTGATTGTTTAGCTTAATTAAAGACACCTCGCTAATGAAACTCAGGCCCCGAACTACGGCAGCGGCAGCAGCGGACCGGATTGCCAACTAATTGATTTGTGTCTTATAATAAATCTTTGCCAGGCCCCACTAAATTCCCATTACAAATCTTTACTCATATAGGAAAAACATTTGATATTTGATTTGATTATTGAATTTTTAAGGACAAATGAGATCATGAATAATTTGCGCTGTCTCCTTTCCATATGTTATTGGTCAAGCAACCATTTTGCCTTTCAGAATGCAAGAAAAATCTCCTCTCGCATAATTTTTGCTGATTGCACCCAGACAAAGATTTCCTCCGGTATTCGTGCGGCCATCACCGTCATAGCTGCAAAGCCAAACTCTTTTATTTTCATCAATATATATCTAAATATATCAAATAAATTTAACAATCTAATATCCTATACGAACTACTAAATTTCCTAATCTGTTTTACTGAAGCTATGTCTGTTCTGTTGAGAGAAGTTTTGACTGTTAATTGCCGTCGCACTCAAACTGATCGAAATGTGTATATTCTATGTCATTAAGTGCAGTATTTCTAGCTCTACTCTTAACTTTGGCTACCATGATAAAGATCTATAAATATGTTAATATTTCATGAGAAATCTTCCGTAAGAAATCATCATTGGAAAGCTCCAATCCACTATAGGAAAAAAACCCGAAATTTTGGCATAAATACAATTTTTTTTTAATCAATTTTTAACCTTTTTTTTTTATTTTCCAATAATAAATATCTTAACTAATATAAAATGAATTTTTTAAAAATTGTATGGACTGCCCCTACTATATAACGCGGGGCTGCAAGTCAGCTGACCCAGAGTTGCTTTGTATGCAAAAAAAGCGCGGGAAAAATTGTGCAACTTTGAAGTTTAGTACTGCGGTAAATAAAAATAAAATTTATAACTTTAAAAATGGAAAACATTACTGATGGTATGTACTATAAATTGTCAATTCAAATTTTTGAGTTCATTTGTTTACTTGTCTAATTGTTCAATGTTTTGTTGTTGTGTATTTTAGCTAAAAAATAACAAAATAGTTCGTGTTTCGTGGAACATAACTTACAAATAGAGGAGACTAGTGATGAAGTTTAATTGCAAACGTGTTGTCTGAAACTTCTATTATTAGAGACTTTTAACCGTTTTTGCTCCTTTTTGCTCCATTTCGAAAAAATAACGTTTTTATAGCTAAGTATGAGTTTACGCGCTCAGAGCTTCTAGACGTATGGGCAAGCAACAATCGCCAAGCAGACGCGGTGAAATTGTTTATGATTGAAAAAATTAATAATAATGTGGATGAAAATGTAGAAAACAGTATTTCTACCCAAGTAGCCCAGTTTATTGCTTTTGTTAAAAGATATTTGCCCAGATGTAACCGTAATCTGCATAGATTCAAAGCAACACATTCACGGTGGGTCGGGGGCAAAATATTTATCAACTTAAAAGAAGTTAAGTCCTCGCAAGATAAAGCTGGCCGTAAAGAACTTACTTATGAAGAAGCAGGCAGTCGGCTGAAGAGAAAATTAGCTTCTGATCTTGCAAGTCAAGAAGAACACACAACCCAACTGTTTATACATGCTGCATCGGTTTCAGCAAAAAAATGCAAAGAAAATGATATGGCATTCGTTCTACGAAAAACAATGCACAGTGAGAATGCGAGTGAGATAAGAAAGAAAATAGAAGGAAATTTACCAACTTCTATAGAACCATCTGAAGCATTGGCTTTTCTTATTGAAAACGGGTTAACAAAAGAGCAGTATGGAAACATTAAGTTGATCTGTAAACAACACGGATGTGATATTTTCCCATCTTATTTGGAAGTAGTGAAAGCTAAGTTGAAATGCAGGCCAAATGGAATATCAATTTGTGAAAAAAAAGCGGAAGTGCCTTTGCAGAGCTTACTAAATCATACAGCAGATCGGATTCTAAAGCTGCAAGAGGATGTTTTAGAAGTAGTTCCAAATGCAACGCACTATAAATTAATAGTGAGCTACGGTTTCGATGGATCAACTGGGCAAAGCAGTTATAAGCAATATTTTCAGAGTGATGAGTTCAATACTATGGATCATTCCCTTTTTGTTTCCACAATAATTCCCCTAAGATTGACGGATGAACATAACCGAATAATTTGGCTCAATAGAACACCGCAGTCAATTAGATTTTGTCGACCTTTGAAAATCGAATTTGTTAAGGAAACCACAGCCGTTATATTGAATGAAAAAAATATTGGGAGGAGCAAATAAGAGGTCTTAGTGAGCATAAATATATATATAATAACAACACAATATATATCCAGTATGATATGCATCTGACCCTTATTGATGGAAAGGTTTTGAATATTGTAACGGGTACAAATTCGTGCCAATCATGCCCTCTATGCGGGGCGAAACCAAAACAATTGTTAGAAATTGCTGATTTCAACTCAGCGTGTTTTAAAGTGACTGAAAAAAATCTTAAGTATGGATTAAGCCCACTTCATGCTTGGATAAGATTTTTAGAGTTTGTGTTAAGAATATCTTATAAAAATGATTTAAAGAAATGGCGCATAAAGGAAGCAGATAAAAATCAAGTCGCAGCACGGAAGCAACAAATACAAGAAAAGTTATGGCTGGAAATGGGTCTTATAGTTGATAAACCCAAACAGAACGGTAGTGGAAGCAGTAATGATGGAAACACCGCCCGAAGAGCGTTTTCAGATCCTAGAAAGTTTTCTGACATACTAAATCTGAATTATGAAGTTATCAGGAACTTTCATATAATATTAATTGCTATCTCATCCGAACATTATATAAATAGCGATAAATTTAGAGCTTTCTGCGTCCGTACATTTGAAATATATATGAATAACTATTCTTGGTATCCCATGTCCCCAACTGTGCACAAAGTTTTGATCCATGGATACCAAATAATGGATAGCTGCATAGTTCCTGTTGGTGCTCTCGGAGAAAACGCATCAGAAGCTCGAAACAAAATTTATAAAAATGACAGAAGGTCGCATGCCAGAAAGAGCAGTAGGCTAAACAACATCACTGATGTTTTTCACAGGGCATTAGATTCATCTGATCCGCTTTTGTCAAGTCTCTGTCTTAAAAAAAGACAGAAGCTTCACAAAAAATTAAAATTTCCAAGCGAAGTGATTGATCTGTTTGCTCTGATTGAGCCTCCGCAAATCGCGCATCAATTTACAAATGAAACTGAAAGTTTAGAAGCTGAAGATGAGGATGAGGATGATGCAAACAATTTCGACCCGAATATCGAATTGGATGAAGAAAATTATGATTATTGATGTTAATTTTTGGAGATGTGGTAATTATTGTAAAATAAAAATACAACATTTTTTTTCATATTTTTCTTAATTTTACAGGGTATCAACGGAATGAAAATATGCTTAGACTGAAGACTGCTTAGCTTTGGTTAAAGCTCCCTCTTATTTGGTTTTTGGCACTTATTAAGTCGATTGCCTGATGAGTCGATCACGAACTTAAATGTTAGCTGGGTACTTCGGCTGCTAATTAACTTGATTTGATTTGATTTGATTTGATTTGAATTGATTTGTTATTTTGTCGATAGGAATGTGATTTCAGGCCCCGTTTCGAGGTTTTTGGACTCGATTTGGATGTGATTTGCGCAATACGAAAATGGGGTTCAAGTGGGTTTTAACTAATTTCAATTAGCAGCTTCTTTGTAGATGCTTTGTGGTTGCTTTTGCGTGATATCATTTTTGCGCTGTGCAAATTAAAGTCATATACAGGTATATATGTATATTGGATATATATTATATAAAGCCGTAAAACTGTTTTGCTACTCTAATAAAATGAACGAAAAGTCAGCGTAAAACTGTTTTGCTACTCTAATAAAATGAACGAAAAGTCAGCGTTATCTATGGTTTATCATTTGCGATACGAAATTACCATAAACAAAATGTGTTAATTGGTGAAACCCAAAGCGAATTAATTGACATCGTCGAGCAGATGGATATATATGTATATGTATGTATATAGGGTTTCCGACTGTTTTGATCGCCAGCCACTAATTAGTCTAGTCAGCCATTAGGCCAACGCAGTGCCAGAGCTAGCTACGAGCTAATTGATTTATTTTTCTGTGCCTGCTTTGGTTAGCAACTCAAATGGCCGATCGCCATTATATCGCCTCTGAGTCAACGTCTCAGCTTAGCTTTCCAACTCCAACTCCATCAAAGTCGGAGTCGAAGTGGAAGTCACATGGGCATTGATCTTACAGCCTCATATCAGACTCGGCCCAGACTCTTGGCCCACTCGATAATTATGCGGCTGCTGATGCTGAGGCTGCTCTGTTGCTGTAGCAATAAAATTAACACTTTGGCTTTTCACATGGCAACAGACAAAACAAAAGCGCAATTAAGGTAATTAAGCGAATGCAATGCAGCGAAGGCTGGGACAGAGATTTGAAGATGTCGACTGAGCAAGAGGACTGCAGCGCACATGCACTGAGCGAAAAGTGCAGTTGAAATGGGAATGACGAAAGGAATGAGCAGAGCCACGAGTAGAGAAAGTTTAAAGCTCATAATAATATTATTATTATCAGAAATATAAATATCGAATGAATTGTTAAATAGAATTGAATTGATCTCAAAACAATATATAGTTTAATATATTTTGATACTCATCTATGACAATGAAGAGGTCCAAGGGCAATGAATTCTCGCTTATCGAGGGAAAAAGATGGCTTAACTGTGATGACAGTGACTTCAGTTGGGATTAATAAGAAGAAAGAAGAATGTTTTGATAATTTGATAGACTCAAGCCAGATTAGTTACTCAGTTGATTCTCTGAGTGTATGCCTCAACGACGAACAGCAGTGCAGACACAGTGCCAAAAGCTAATGATGCACAATATGGCGGCGGGCCATAAACAAATTTCGAACAAAGTCGAGTTCGCTAAGCCGCGCTTCGGCTTAATCGCAATGGCCGCGCCACTGACCGCCACGCTGGCCAATCAACGCGGCCCACTTTCCAGTTGCCAGTTACCAGTTACCAGTTTCAAATTGTGGAACCTCTGCGCTATGGCCAGGATTTGCAATTGCAGAGCCAATTATAAGCCGCGCAATGGCCCGATTTGCATAAACACAATGTGAATGTGAATGTGAATGTGAGTTTGGATGTGAATGTGAATGTGGGACTCGGGCTGAAGTTGGCGCTGGGAGCAGGAGCAGCTAGTGAATCGCCTGACACATTATGTCATTATATTGTTGCAACGTGTAATTGGAAGAAAACTTTTGCCGCCAAATGACAAATGCATGAGCCGAAATAAGAGAGCGGAGCGCATTGCAGTTGGGTGTTACCGGGTATAGCATGCTCTACACGGGGAATACCAATCAGCACTCTGAAATACTTAGGCAGTTGTAAAGCAGCTCTTATGGTAAGCAAATATGTCTAATAATTATAAATATTGTCATACATAGTCTCCAGGGCCAGCCAATATACTCCATTTACCACAAGTCAACAGGGTATAGCAGAAACATCAAAAAGCCGCCGTCAAGCTTATGAATTACAAATAAGGCTCGAAACGGGGCTGTGGCTACGGCTATGGCTACGGCAATGGTTGGGGCCGTGGCTGGGGGCGTGGCCCAGGCATCTGCATACATAGACCTAAGACATGCCGCGAAGGGGTTGGTTGGTCGGGGCTATCGAGCCGTTTGGCAGCTTGGCAGCTCGGCAATTCGTCACGTGCGTTCGCCTCGTTGCGAGTTGAAGTTGAAGTTGAAGCCAAGGCAAAAGCACATTTAGCCAGCTAATGCGCCAATTTAAAAGGCAAACAAAAGACAAGGCGCACAGACACAAATATTCAAGTTAAATGCCAGTTGGAGCTGCATTCGAATTGCAATTGGAATCGAAATCGGAATCAGAGTCTCAGTCGGAGTTGGTTTGGCTTGTGGGCAATTTGTGAAATGAGATACTTTTGCCAGGCTTTGTCAGCGCTATAATTATAATTAATGTGATTGCAACAAATGACAGCAACAACGCGTACAACGACAACAACAACAATAAATAGAACCGCAATCAGATTTTGCTGGCAACGTTTCACAAAAAAAAAAATGGCGGCAACATTGTCATTAAAATTTATCTTTTATTATTTTAACAACAAAGTTGGTTGTTATTTGGGTGGTATAGTGTCGTGGGTGTGGTGCGGTGGCTCTTGTCTGTTTTTATAGCACTTGAATTAATTGCATTTCACATGCATTTTTCATGTGACAATTTTTTGTATTTTACATGAAAATTAATTGCGCCGCTTATTATTTTAAAATGTTGAGGCTTTCCGATAAATAAAAAGTATATAGTACGTAGATAAATATAGCCTATATAGTATATACGTGCAGTATGTATGCATATGTATTATAATGTACTGGGTGAATTATGAGAGCAACAAAGGTAACTGATATAACATTTTTCTGAGAGATCTTGAATTGTTCAACACGAAAAGATCTTGAAATATTTATATGTGTATATTTTGCAGGTTTTATAAAGATAAATGTACATACATGTACGCTCATTGTTGTAAATCAATACTTTTATGCAAGTTAACTATAATTATAATTTAATTATCATTAGTCTAGAGCGCTTTCTATTTGATTTTTCGAAAACAGCAATAAACTAAGAATGTATTAATTTATTAATATCTATTTATATTTGTATGTATATACGGACTAAAACACGAGATAGACTGAGAAAACTAGAAAGGGAACCAAGAAAATAAATCATGCATTTCATCATGCTTTTTGTCAATACCTAATTAAATAATTGGACAATTATAATTTACGAAACAAAAAATACAATTTTATAAAAATCGGTTGTAAATTGAAGTGTGCCACGCCTCTTTAAGGCACCTCGTGTGGTGCTTAACCCTTGATTACACACTGAAGCCGCAGCTAATAGAAACTAACAAAAAAGGCTAAAGAGAGAAAAAAGAGCTGAAAACACGCTAAACTAACACGCAACTGGCTCAATGGCTGCGTTACAAGCTGCTTAAAGCAGCTAATAAGCGCCCAGGCGAGATATATTGCCACGAAATATAGCTGCGATGCGATACGATACGATATTTATATATGAATGTATACGTGAGTAAAAAGAGTCAAGTCACAATTACGTGACGAGACGAGGGGAGGCGGCGACTCGGGCAGGCGACACCGGCTGGCGATAGTTTAATGACCAACAAACGCCTTCTCATTAAACGCTAAATTACACAGGCGCATGACACGAATTTCAGAGACATGTCCAACAACAACAATTGTTGCTAAATATTACACTGCAGCAACAACAACAGCTGTAGTAATAAGAGCAAGTGAATCGGTTGCATGCAACACTCAGCTGTGGCATTTGCATATACGAGAAATGTTGTCGAACAAACAAAGTCGAAGTCGAAGCTGAAGGCGAAGTCGATGTGGAAGAGGAAGTGGAAGTTGAGCTGGTCTCGGCGCAGGTCGAGGAGACTTTGTTAGCTGATTTCAAATAGAGCAGCGCCGGCACAGGTAAAGGGACGGATGTGCACGACTAGCAGTTACCCTAGACTTATTCCACATATGAAATATGACTTGTCTGTTCTTTTTATATATCTGCTACAAATAATATTACAAGCAAAGCTGTGGAAATTGACATTGAATATCGATTGTGTATATAATAATCCAATGTGCGACTGGTTGAAGCTCTGGACTAGAAACATAATAGATCAAAGCTAGCTGGGCAAGAGACTTAAATCATCAGACGATATAAAAAATAATTAATTAGTTATCGATAACTGAATTCTTCGATATCAAAAATAATTAATTAGTTATCGATAACTGGCTTCTCTCTCTCTCTCTCTCTCTCTCTCTCTCTCTCTCTCTCTCTCTCTCTCTCTCTCTCTATTTCTCTCTCCCATTACCTCATTCACTTGTTTACAGCAATCAACCCAAACTGCTAAACGTA